CAAAAATACATGTTTTTGGTTTTCCAAAAACATGCATGTTTGGTATTATATAATGTAATACAGAGAGGGAAAATAGTTGAAATGGTTTTAATTGTGGCTTTTTCTGTAACAAGATTCATAAAAGTGCAAGGGCACATCAAACCAACTCTGAGTATTCAGGTACGGATGTGACACAGCTGCTTGTTTTTTAAAACATGCATGTGTGTCAAAGAGCAGCACTGTGTGGGAGACCGGTGCACCTTCCTGTAGGCGAATGGGGGGAGGAGCTGGTCAGGTAAATACCAGATTACACACCACCGCATCTCAGAGGACTTTATCCCACTTCTTGTTTCCAGCTTTTTGAGCCCTTTATCTGCAGCAGTTACACCTTTGAGCAGAAAAAAACTAAGAACTTCATACCTCCTGGCTCCTGCGTTTACCGCATTCACATACAGGAGGTTCTAACATGGCAAACATCTGTAACACTTCCACCCACCCACTGCTTCAAGATTTACTTCAGACTAAAAACATGTTAACTCCAGTAAATATCCTCAACATAGAACACGGTAAAATGTGTCTAATAAAAACGCAAATAACAGATAAGAGCCATGGAAAAAGGAGAAAAATCCATTATCACATGTAGGAGGCATTAACGCACTTGCAAGTGTGGGAGCATCGAAAGGGTAGGAGGGCGGCGGTAGAATAAAGCTGGATGAGCAAAAAAAAAAATATGAATTACAAAAGAGGCTCAGATTTCTGAAAGTAGCAGTCAACAGGTAGAGTCAGCACCACTTTATGGTAAAGAGGCGTAAAAATAATTAAAAATATATATGATTCCTTTAATTGAACAGCAATTTCCCATTAAAAATCTGGAAACATACTGTGACATTTTGGACACTGCTAACGAGCCATTAAAAATAAATACACAGCAACTTTAAAGTATACTTTTTTCTGATCTGGCTTCCTAGAGATTTTTAATTGGGAATCCTGCTCTCTTCTCTATCCTGAGATAAAAATACAGTACAATGTGTCACAGATGCCCCTTTCTTTTAATAACAAGCTACAAGGCTGGATAAGGACCTACATCTCTTCACCTCACGCCCACTGCTAAGAATAGGGGAGGACCTGTCCCTTTTTGACCAGTTTCTTTTTCACAGGCTCTGGATAGCTTGTTAAAGTGCTGTGGATCATGAACTCAGAATTTTTAAGCTATTACCTGGAAAACTGTGCTAGAAAGAAAATGAAATGGCTTAATTCCCTCATCAGAATGTCAATGAGTTGTGCAGCGGAACGGTAAGAGCCATTTATCCGAGTCAGGTGTGTTGAAGAAGGGTTGCAGGATAGCAGTTTCTGAGGACTGGACTTTGGGACCCCTGCTGTAAATCATGACTAATGATTCTAAAATTGATTCAAAGCTTCACATTCAGAAGCTAAAATTATCATTTACAGCTTAGTTGTAAAGACTATGAAATTGCTCTGTCTGAAATGAAGCTTTATTCTAAATATTAACTCCAAACAGTGTTTTCAATTCCTCTTTGACATTAGCACCAACTTTAGATGAGCAGAAATGAAAACAAATACATAAAGGATGGTTTAAATTAATCTGGACTGAATAGACAGTATTTCAGTACATTTAAAAAAGAACTATTAACTATTGTTTAAATATATTTATACTCTCACAAGCTTCATAGATTTCCCTAAAAAAAGAAAGATATACATCATTTATATAAAATTTGTTCATTATAATTTATATTTCCCCCATTCTTGTTGATTTATATTTTATATCAGTATCCAAGCTGCAATAAAACATGGTAGTGAACATATGCTCTTGGTTTCGCTTTTAAAAAGTAGCTATATATTTTTGTAGAACATAGGAAAATAAAAATATTTTCAGGATAGGTATAAAAAAATAAAAATAAATTTACTTAACTATACTAAGAAAGGAGAGACCTAAAATTTAAAAAGAAATCCACAAAACTAGAACAGGGTAATTTTCTGTTTCCCTGCACTGAAGCACAATTTTAAACAGGCACAAAATTTGTTGATTACAACAGAGTGAAACTACCATATAAACCATCAGCTGGGTGTCCAGAAATAACTGCTGAGTCACCTTTTGATAATATTACTTGTTATCGTTTGCTTCATTACTGTATAAAAACTAATCTGGACCAGCTCTCACTATGGGTGTGGGAAATAATTGTTTTGGCGATATATCGTGATATTCGGCTGCCCGATATAATATCAATCTTTCACTTCTTAGTATCGATTTTCAAAAAAAAAAAATAGTTACATAAAATATTGATGGGAAAATGGGCTACCTCTGCACCCCCACAGAAAGCTCTGTGG